GCTGGCATTCAGAGACCTCCTCCTCCTAGCTCAAAGAAGAAGAAATCTCCATCCTTCACATTGAACCAATGGTTGAACAGTGGGTTGTCTAAACCAGACACAGTCCAATTTGCTGAGATGAAAAAGCATATGACTCCCCTGCAGCGTGAGAATCTGATCCAAGATGAGAATGGCATCATCACCATTGCTCATGGAGGATCCATAGAAGAAGCTGAGGAATGGTGGAGGATGAGGGTTCTGCCTGGAAAGGATGAGAAGGATGCAATAAGGTATTATCTTGATTGCCAGCTTACTCCACTCTGGAAGAAATACATGATTCCCAGGAACCTTGCTTCAATCAGAGCAAGAGTAAATGCGGAGCTTCAAGAAGCCAAGGTAAAAGAAGAGGCTGTTCTTGCAGAAGTCACAGAGGAAGATTTCTAAACTTTATCTCCTTTGCATTTCTTATTTGTAAAACTCTGATTAATAAAGATAACCTCTCTGCCTCTAATTTGCATGGCTATATTATATAATGTGTTATTTATTGCTTTCTATTCTTATCTGCTTATTGCGTGATTGCGTGTATTTTACTCTTACTATTTTCCTATGCCAAGTGCCCACCAAGATTTTAAATGAAAGTTTATTCTTAACCTTATTTTCCCTATGGTGAAAGGCACTTCTCTGGAAATAGTTTAAGGGTTTTGGCATCATCAAAAAGGGGGAAATTGTAAGGAATAAATGTAATTAGATTTTGATGATGCTATAGGATTAGAAAGTTAGAGTACCCCCAATTAGATTTTATGTATTAGAATTTTCATTTGTAAGCATTAGTGTAGTCGACGATCAGAGTTGCTCTGCTTTGGATCAGATCAGGAGTGCATCAGAATTGCTCGACCAGACTTGCTCTATGAGAACTGCTCGATCAGAGTTCTCTTACCAGAAGTCCATCAGAGATGCACCATGAGAGCTGCTGATAGATTTGTACATCTGATAACCGATGAGAACTACATATCAGAGGTACTCATCAGCGGATCTATCAGAGTCAGAGTTAGAGATCAGAAAGCCATCAGAATTCAATACTTCAGAAGAGCCTGATCAGTGCCCGACTAACACTTAGAAGATTTCAAGCAACATCCAACAGCTATGAATCCAACGGGTAAAATCATCCAACGGCTAGAAGATTGTGCATGAAAGGAAAGCATTTAATGCACAATAAATTAGCCTGATACGCTGAAGGATTGATTGCAAATGATTGACCAAGGAATCCGGGAAGATATATTATAAAAATAGAAACCTTCCAAAACGGCGGTCAAGTCAACTGTACGCGCATTTAATGCAGTTGTCTCCTCCTCCAACGGGCAGACAACCTCAGTATATAAGCTACACACCGAAGAACAGAAAAACTACCTTGAGCCAAGAACTTTTGCTCCAATCACTGAACATACTTCTTGAGATTCAATCTTCATAACACTCTACAAGAAAAGTCCCACGTTGGGAAGATTCAAACTCCAAATCTTTCATTCCCAACAACGAGCAAAGTTCATCCTGTTCTTCAACTCTTCAAGAACTTCATCAAACATCATTTGTGACGAAGCAAGTTGGAGGAAAAACTTTGTTTTTCAAAGGATCTTCTGAAAAGAAGGGCGTCCAAGTAACTGCAGTAGTGAAGTGGTGATACTTCCAGGAAGCTGAGTGAAAGGACCAGCCATCAGGACGTGGAATTACATCCTGGGTGGCATCTAGACTTGAAGAAGACGAGGAGTGCTTCTTAAGTGCTAGGAATTAGCTTTGTAACCGATCTACTTCAAAGCTAGTGGAACAGTGGACTAGAGGAACACGTTGTTCCTTGAACCACTATAAAAATATCCGGTGTCATTTACTTTACTGCAATTTATATTTCTGCACTTAGGATATTAACTGTTAACTCTAAGACTTGGAATCTGTGTTCAGCAGATCTTGTTTTCAGAGTTATCAGAAAGGCATTTGCCTTAGTGTTTCTGAGGCTACCCGGACAGATCAGAATCCGCTGCCAAGGCCTGTTCTGATATCAGAACCAGCCTTTCTCTGTCACCAGAATCAGACCTTCTCTGATAAGTCACTTTGGACTTAGAGAAAATTTGAAAAACCAATCAGTCTATTCACCCCCCCCCTCTAGACTGATTACCATATTAAACGGGACCAACATCATCAAACTTCTTCATAGCTATTGTCAGTTTGTTGTCTCTCTCTTGTTCATCACCTGCTCCTATGAGATCAAGTTTGTCCCATATTTCTTTGGCAGTTCGACACTTCTTGATTCTGTTGAAGTATCTGTTGTCGATGGCTTTGTAGAGGATATCTTTGGCAATATTGTCAAGATTGTACTGTCTCCTCTCTTCCTTTGTCCATTCTGATCTGGCTTTCTCAATCATCTCAGGCTGAGTCCTGTCAATAGTATGCTCAGTATTGACCTTCATAAATTTGGTGAAAGGTCCTTCTTCAAGGACTTCCCACATTTCATCATGAAGAGCGCAGAGGTGTGCTTTCATTCTGATCTTCCAGTCATCATACTTCTGATCTGAAAACATGAGGTGCTTTGCAAGAGAGTTATCCATAATAGTAAGTATATAGAGGCTAAGAACAAGTGGATCTTTTGTTCAGAGAGTAACCTAAAAGATTACAAGAACAAGGAGGCTCTGATACCACTTGTTGGTCCCGTTTAATATAGTAATCAGTCTAGAGGGGGGGTGAATAGACTGATTGGTTTTTCAACTTTTCTCTAAGTCAAAAATGACTTATCAGAGAATGTCTGATTCTGGTGACAGAGAAAGGCTGGTTCTGATATCAGAACTGGCCTTGGCAGCGGATTCTGATCTGTCCGGGTAGCCTCTGAAACACTAAGGCAAATGCCTTTCTGATAACTCTGAAAACAAGATCTGCTGAACACAGATTCCAAGTCTTAGAGTTAACAGTTAATATCCTAAGTGCAGAAATATAAATTGCAGTAAAGTAAATGACACCGGATATTTTTATAGTGGTTCAAGGAACAACGCGTTCCTCTAGTCCACTGTTCCACTAGCTTTGAAGTAGATCGGTTACAAAGCTAATCCCTAGCACTTAAGAAGTTCTCCACGCCTTCTTCAAGCCTAGTTGTCACCCGGGATGCAGTTCTGCTTCCTGATGACTAGTCCTTTCACTCAGCTTCCCGGAAGTATCACCACTTCACTGCTGCAGTTACTTGGACGCCCTTCTTTGCAGAAGATCCTTTGAAAAACACAAAGTTTTTCCTCCAACTAGCTTCGTCACAATTGATGTGTTATGAAGATCTTGAAGTGTTGAAGAACAGGATGAACTTTGCTCGTTGTTGGGGATGAAAGGTTTGGAGTTTGAATCTTCCCAACGTAGGACTTTTCTTGTAGAGTGTTATGAGGATTGAATCTCAAGAAGTATGTTCAGTGAATGGAGCAAAAGTTTTTCGCAAAGTTGTTTTTCTGTTCTTCGGTGTGTAGCTTATATACTGAGGTTGTCTGCCCGTTGGAGGAGGAGACAATTGCATTAAATGCGCGTACAGTTGACTTGACCGCCGTTTTGGAAGGTTTCTATTTTTATAATATATCTTCCCGGATTCCTTGGTCAATCATTTGTAATCAATCCTTCAGCGTATCAGGCTCATTTAATGTGCATTAAATGCTTTCCTTTCATGCACAGTCTTCTAGCCGTTGGATGTTTTTACCCGTTGGATTCATAGCTGTTGGATGTTGCTTGAAATCTTCTAAGTGTTAGTCGGGCTCTGATCAGGCTCTTCTGATGTGTTGGATTCTGATGGCTTACTGATGAGTTGAGTTCTGATGGATTTCTGATCTCTAACTGAACTCTAACTCTGACTCTGATAGGTCCGCTGATGAGTACCTCTAATCTGTAACTCTCATCGGTTATCAGATGTCCAAGTTTAGCAGCAACTCTCATGGTGCAACTCTGATGGACTTCTGGTAAGAGAACTCTGATGGAGCAGTTCTCATAGAGCAAATCTGGTCGAGTAGTTCTGATGCACTTCTGATCTGATCAAAACAGAGCAACTCTGATCGTCGACTACACTAATACTTACAAATGAAAATTCTAATACATAAAATCTAATTGGGGGTACTTTAAAATTCTAATCTAGACATCCTAGCATCATCAAAATCTAATTACATTTATTCCTTACAGCCGTTCGTCTTACAAGGCAGTTAGAAATGCCGCGAGTAAGAGTGCTAAAGCTAGAATGCTAAGAATAGAAAGTTGCCAACCCTTTACAATGAAATAAATGCTTCTATTTATACCCACCACTGGGCAGGTGGCTGTGCTGACGTGGCAGCCTGTGGACCGCTGGTGCCCCAACTACCAAATCTTCAGCATTAAATGCACTTCCCGCCAGAATCTAGGTTTCCCGCCTAATCAGTGGGGACGTTCGTCCGCCCGGGAAGTGAGTTGGATCGCCCCAAGTGACCCCCAAGAGACACCGGCTGTTCGTCTCCTGGCCTTGGTAGATACTCACCACGTGGACTGGGTTTCCTCCGATGACTATAGGCTTACCATGGGGACGTTCGTCGTCATCCCTGGTGGCCCGCGTCCCTGCTCCTTGTCCTTGCATAGACGTTCGTCGGGATGAGCCGCTGGGCCTGAACTCTCAATACCAGACGTTCGTCCATCCTCGAGGAACATGGGCCTGTGGGCTGGCCTTGTGTTCTAACTGGACGTGCGTCTGGCAAGGTGGGGTTAGTGGGCCGGACCCCGGCTTGGGCCCTTAACCCAACAGGTTTGTAGTTGTTTTTCCTTCAAAACTACTAATAAAAATATTATGAACAAAAATAATGTGACTTATTAACTATCAACGACTAAAATTCTGTTCAATGTTTAAATCACAGTAACTTATGTTTAGTTAGCACGGTGTAAATTTTGAATACAATTGTACTCACTTTTTTTTTACCCCGGAAGGCAAACCACCAAAATCAGTGGGGCAAATGCCGGGGGACATTTGCCGAGGTTTTATTAAAATTTGAAGTATTATATGAGAGGGGGACCAAACCAAAACCTCTCTAAAAAACATTTAAGGGAGACCATACCAAACCTAAAAAAAAACGTACATGTAAAAATAAGCAAATTATAGCCGTAAACTAGGAATACCGAAAAGATCCGCATACTAACCTTGTTTAACCTTATTGGGAAGATTGCTAACCCGTCTGTAAATGAGTAATTGGCCCGAAGCAGAGTAGTGAGAAGCAAGAGAGTGGGCCGGCCCACTACCCTCCCTATACTCATGTCCGAAAGAATAACCCCGATTTGTTGCCTCTCTCCTGAACTGAGTTAGGTTGCCTGAATCGTCCTCTACTGAAGAAATCGCACCTGAGGAATCACTTTCCACTTGAACATCGGTGAAGCCCTCCTCCATCACCATTTCAGAAGCTAAAACCAATGACTTGAGTTCCGCCTCCTCGCTAGAAGCCGCCTGGACGCCGAAGCTAGCCGCCCAGACCAGTTCGCCAGCACGGTTTCTGAGAATAGCGCCACCTGCTGCGGAACCAGGTACAAAAGCCGCGTCAACATTCAATTTGAAATTCTTCTTGGGTCTTTTCCACTTAATTATCTGAATCCCTGAGTTGTTGAATGTAAGAGTAGATGGGATAAGGTGTTCGTGAATAAGAATATTATCCACCTGCATATGTTTTTTCTTGTTCAAAGTATACGCCCAATTTTGAGTGTAAAGCTTGATTCGGTAGATAAGTTGCTCTGGAGAGGGTATAGAGTCCGAGCCCCATATATTGGAAGAAAAAACTTTCCATATGTGCCATGTTATGATCCCAGGCATATTTTGCATAAAAACATCAGCCATGGTTTTTGAGCCGGCCTCAATCCACCAAACAATCATGACTTGCCTAACCATTGCACAATCTGGCATTCTTAGCCCAAAAATCCCCATAAAATACAATTGTACTCACTAATAGTTACTAAGTAATATTTTTGTCCATCACATTTTAAAGAGTAATATTTATGGGGTTATTTCCATTAAAACATGATTTAAATAGGCTTGGTGTATTAAAACATGATTTACCTTTAAATAATTTTGTTTAATGGATATCTTGAAATACACTCTAATACACCATATAAATAGGCTTCCAATTTTTTTTTTCTGTTTTTTGTCTCCCAAGCCTCTCTCACATGTCACCACTCCCACTCCCTAAATCTCCCATGGTTTGCCTCACTCTTTAAAAAAACGCGCCTCAACTCCCCACCTTCACCTTCTTTCACACCTCAACATCATGTTTCACGCATCCCCATGCCCAAAAAACCCACCTTTTCCGGCATAAATATCCTAGGTCGAAGGAAGCTCTATTGTTGTATCAGTCGCAGGTCGAAGGAAGGTCTAAGTCAACGGTTGGTCCCAGAACAAGGTCGTCGGGCACAGGGCATTTTTCAAGAAGAGCGTTGTTTTAGATGCATATGGTCCGAACAAGGTTGCCAGTCATGGGCGGCAGTAAGTTTAGTCATGGGCAGCAGTAAGTTTGAAGTAACGTAATTTAATTATGGTTACATTTTGTCAATTTGGCAATTGATGATGGTATTTCGTAGTTGAGGTTATGTTTATGTGTATTAAAAGTATAAATTGGAAGTATGAACCAATGATTGGTTGTGTGTGTTCGAATTGCAATGTTTGTGTCCATTGATGGTTCACTTGGAGTTGAAACCATTTGGAGTGTTTGTGGTGTTGACATTGTTTTGTATGACATTGAATTGTTGGTATTGGTTTGTGTATATTTTGAAGTGTTTTTGTTGGTGTACTTTAACACACGATTTTCTTGTGAGCTAATTATATTAGTCATCTTAGTCAATTAAATAAGTTTCTTTTATGAATAATATGATATAATATTTCATTGTGTTATCATTTTGTGGAAGATAATGTTGACTGGTAAGCTTTAATAACTGTAATTGAAGAAATAAATAATGCTTTTTACAAGAAAAACGTGCAACTATTATTAATTAATCAAATCGTCAGCAACTTGACTTGCAACAAAATAATGAACTAAATGCAACTAAGATCTGAGAGGGACACATGTGTCCGAGCTATCGCATGAGCAACAGGATTCGCAAGTCACTTACAAGAAAAGAGATACTAAAATGACTCTTTCTCAGAATATAATTGATGGTTCCGGGTGAGGTAAGAGTCTAGAGGGGTGTGAATAGACTTTTAAAGTTTTTCACTTTTCAAAGTTTTCCCTCTTATAGAGTGGAAGTCTAGAGTGGAAGTCCCCCACAATGAATAAAAATCCCCGTTTCTCTGACACATTGTGTATTAAAAAAAAAGAGAAGAAAATTGGAAGTGTGCATCTCAGGAGCACCCGACGTCAGCCCCGAGCCGGATAGGCCGGTAGCAGCGCGGGCAACCTCCTGGGTCCTTTATTAAGGAATGCATGGCCAGGAGCACCAAGTGCCAGCCCCGAGCCGAAGAGGCCGGAGCAGCACGGGCAACCTCCTGGACCCAAAAAATTCCAAGTATGCATACCAGGAGCACCCGATGTCAGCCCCGAGCCGGATAGGCCGGGAGCGGCGCGGGCAACCTCCTGGGTCCTTTATTAAGGAATGCATGGCCAGGAGCACCAAGTGCCAGCCCCAAGCCGAAGAGGCCGGAGCAGCACGGGCAACTTCCTGGACCCAAAAAATTCCAAGTATGCATACCAGGAGCACCCGATGTCAGCCCCGAGCCGGTTAGGCCGGGAGCGGCGCGGGCAACCTCCTTGGTCCTTTATTAAGGAATGCATGGCTAGGAGCACCAAGTGCCAGCCCCGAGCCGAAGAGGCCGAAGCAGCACGGGCAACCTCCTGGACCCAAAAAATTCCAAGTATGCATACCAGGAGCACCCGACGTCAGCCCCGAGCCGGATAGGCCGGGAGCGGCGCGGGCAACCTCTTGGGTCCTTTATTAAGGAATGCATGGCCAGGAGCACCAAGTGCCAGCCCCGAGCCGAAGAGGCCGGAGCAGCACGGGCAACCTCCTGGACCCAAAAAATTCCAAGTATGCATACCAGGAGCACCCGATGTCAACCCCGAGCCGGATAGGCCGGGAGCGGCGCGGGCAACCTCCTAGGTCCTTTATTAAGGAATGCATGGCCAGGAGCACCAAGTGCCAGCCCCGAGGCGAAGAGGCCGGAGCAGCACGGGCAACCTCCTGGACCCAAAAAATTCCAAGTATGCATACCAGGAGCACCTGACGTCAGCCCCGAGCCGGATAGGCCAGGAGCGGCGCGGGCAACCTCCCGGGTCCTTTATTAAGGAATGCATGGCCAGGAGCACCAAGTGCCAGGCCCGAGCCGAAGAGGCCGGAGCAGCACGGGCAACCTCCTGGACCCAAAAAAAATTCCAGGTATGCATCCCAGGAGCACCCGACGTCAGCCCCGAGCCGAATAGGCCGGTAGCGCGGCGCGGGCAACTTCCTGGACCCTTTAACAAGGGATGCATGGCCAGGAGCACCAAGTGTCAGCCCCGAGCCGAAGAGGCCGGAGCAGCACGGGCAACCTCCCGGACCCAATAATTGATGCGTCAATGGCCATGAAGACGTATAAGAACGTGTTGTCTTCATTGACTTTGATTCCCAAAAACGATCCCGGATTTGTTTGTTTCACAATGTTGATGAAGTGTGGCAGAAAACTGAAAAACTCTTCTGGGTTTCCTCTCAACTTATTGAGTGCTTTTTCCTTTGCTCTCCATGCTTTCAAGTAGCTTATTTCAACTCCATACTCCTGCAACATATCTCTTTGAATATCAGTTGCATTATATGACGTTTTCGGATCCAATAATTTAGCCTTAATGCAGTCTGCTACCAAACTAGCTGTTGCATGCCTTTGATCAGTTAATCTCACTTCCAATTTGCAAGAATGTGTTTTAATAAACTTGGTTACAATAAACCTTCCTAGTGTTCCTCTTCATCTTGCTCTCATCATCCATTTGCGGCATTCTTCATCCAAACATTTTGCTACATAGGCTTTCTTATTTGCCTTATCTGTCCTGTACTGGAAGTGATTTTTTATAGCATACAACTTCAATGCTTTTTTCAACTCAGCACAGTTGATGTAAATCAGTCCTACTTCAGGATCTACATCATTGTTGTTGCACTTTGTGGATTCTGACTCCACACATGTTTCTTTTAGTAGTGCCTCAGTTGTTTTATTCGCCCAATGTAATATATAACCAGAGACATCCAACTCGTCACTAATTGTTGAGCTTTCTTGAGCTGACAGTATGGCCGTTTGCATCCCATGTGTTGTTTCATCTTGTTGATAAGCATCAATAAACATGTTGCAGTTTGTTTCCTCATATACATCAGCAAATGTAATGCATAGAGGAAATTTTGTCACATCTGTTTCTTGCTTCTTTAGGTGTAAATAAAACAACAGAGCTGAATTATCTTGTATCATCAATGGTGGATAATTCTCTCTGACTTTGTATTGAATTATCAATTAATTTGATGGCGTTTGTATTCTGATTCCATCAACTAGCTTTGCAATTAAGTCAGAAAAGGAACTGTGTGTATCTAAAGTAATTCCAAACACCTTGAAGTTATCATATTCCAGTGCTTCATTCCAATGACCACCATGATGGCATGATGAACAAAAATAGGCAGTGTTTCCATGTTACCTGTTATTAACAACACACACATGGTTCTAGCTTATTCGAGTATGAAAAACTGTTCACAGTAGTATTACGTTCACAAACAAAAACATGTTCCATTCATTAATAATTTTATTTTGTAAATCTTAGCAATTACAATTCAAACAGAATTTATTATTCTATAGCATCCAAAAATCAAACAAAAACCAAAATTCAATTCATATATTCAAACATATTGAAATCAGTTCACGAATTTTAGAGGTTGTAGTAATCATACTTTTGTGTTGTAGGAGAATTGTGAATCGCTGATGAATACTTGAGTTTTTCTTTGTTTAGATCATTGATTTGTTTGTCTGAAACAATTGTGTTGTGCGATCGAATTCTTCCTGCTACATCAATGAATCTGCAATTAGCTGTAGATTCCTCGAAACGAAGGTCGCGCAGATGGAGTCTTCCGTGCTACATCAATGAATCTGCGATCAGCTGTAGAATCGTCGAAACGAAGATCGCACAGTTGGTGTCCAGTAACGAAGCCCTGGTATACTCTACGCGCGTGTTAGGATTGGAAGCTCTGGGTTTCTATTTTGGTTAAACGCTTGTCGTTTATACATGAGGTTATTTTTGAAATAAAAATCTTCCGTGTCTTTCTTTTGATAACCAAACCTAAAATTGAAAAAGCTGATATCATTTCCCTTCTTGGGCTTATATAGGCCTGGACTCGGGCCGGTTCAGGCCCGGTTCGGGCCTGGGCCCGGCCGGGCCTCGGGCCAGGAAAGTTGGGCCCGGGCCCGAACCGCCGGTGGGCAGTTCCGGTTCCGGGCCAAACCGGGCCGGGCCGGGCTGGGCCTAACCGGTTATAATTTTTTTTTTGGCTCTTCTATTTAACCCCAACCCCTCCCCCTCAACCCCAAACCACCTCAAATGGCCCAAAATACCTAATCCAACCCAAAACTTAAAAAAAATTAAAAAAAAAATAAAACCGGCCCGAACCGGCCGGGCCGGTTCGCCAAAACCTGGGCCCGAGCCCGAACCGCCCAGCAGCCGGGCCGGGCCGAACCGAACCGGTGGACCCACCGGGCCCCGGGCCGGGCCGGGCCGGGCCAAACAGTAACCGGGCCGGGCCGCCCGGCCCGAGTCCACCCCTAGGCTTATATGTGAAAATTTCCCAATGTTTTTCATCTTAAGCTTAATGGAGCTATTCATCCAAACAGTGTTACTTTTATTATGATTAGCTGATTTTAAAAAAATTCAGCCCATTTTTGTAAATTATGTGAACGGATGTTTTTTTATTAAATGACATCTTTGCCATCTCTGTCTCTCCCTTGGTGCAATTCTCTCCCAATCTTCTCATCAATCCCATCACGGGAATAGTTTAAAAACAATAAACTACAATAATTTTGTTTTCACTAACACGACAAAGAAAAAGTGGATTTTTTTTGAAAACGCGGGCGTATAATGATGGAATTGCAAATGTTTAATTACGTTTTAGATTTCATGTTATACTATTTTAATACTTCAATCAATCATCATTTACCCCGTGCCGCAAAGGCTCCCACCTACGGTGGGGTAAGGGGGATCGGATGTACGCAGTCTTATCCCTGTACTATTTTAATACTTCAATAAATGATTTTAATTCATTTTCATTAATTGTAGGGTTAAAAAGAGAGTCAGGCCATCAAGAACCAAGCCGCCAGGACCTGCCAGTTTACCCGGAAACAGCCAGTATATATTAGCAACAAAACAGGTCTACACCTAGTCCAGACTGATCTGGTTTTTTATGCATAATAATAATATTATGTACTACCAATCTGATTTATCTGTAAGGTTTGTTACAGAAATAAATTGAAGAACACAGCCACTATGTCTACATATCGATGTGTTTAATGAGTAGATATTCGAAGCCTTGCTCGAATTAGGCAAGACTTGGACATAAGACTCTTGACATAGGTCTCTATTTCCTCTGAAGGCCCAAAAGCGATCAAGTCTGAGGCAGACCTATCCTGATAGAGATTGTCACAAAAATTAATTTCTCTTGCATTTTTACCTTGGAAAATTCCAGCTTAAGAGCATGTCCCGTAATGAGTATTTTTTTCCTTTTCTTTTTCTTCCGCTGATGAATAATAATTTAAGGATGAGAAGTGTTAAGTAGTAGTGATGATAAGATCTCCCCCATAGACTTGATAGAGAAATCTCTTTCATTTTCCACTTCAACTTCAGCCTCGAGAACTGCTGCGTCCAATGTAAGCTTTCGCTTCGCAATTTGGTATACATCCTCATCAACAGTCTCTCTCGTCACCAGTCTTTAAGCAGAAAGACAACAAATATTACATCAGCAAAAATGCATATGAAATATTTTACCCTCTAAGCTTGCGTGACAAAATTCACATTTCACCAAGGTACAAATTTTAAATTTTCAAAAGGTACAACTGCTATAAATCACCAATCTTACTTGTATTGCTAAATTCACTTCTTGGGTGCAACTTTTTGAGAAGTATTGATCATCAAACATTAACCTTTGGGGGAAGTGGAGTAACACTCAAAAAAAGTCGAAAGTAACACCTTTTACCTGTATATTGTAACTGGTTTTGTCTGTCCAATGCGATGGCAGCGGTCTTCAGCTTGACGGTCCATTTGGGGATTAAAATCCATGTCATGTATTATCACAGTATCAGCGCCAGTCAGGTTCAACCCCTGTCCTCCTGCCCTAGTGGAGAGCAAGAATGCTGATATAGAAGTGTCCTTATTGAAGGTATCTACAAGAGATTGTCTCTCTACCACAGCAGTACTAAACATTAAAACACGCACACACAAACAGTTAAAATTAGAACTATTAGCTCAAATTGGAAAAACATCTTGCAGAACGGCGCAGGGGGGTATCGGTAATGTGCTACCTTCCATCAAGCCGCCTGTAAGTGATTCCTATGACATCCAAAGCCCATTCAAGGATGTCAAGCATTGACGTCCATTGGCTGAATATAAGGACTCGATGCCCAGATTTCTTTAGAGAAGGGAGAATGTCGGCTAACGCCTACAGCAGCAAAAAAACACTTGAGATGTTACTTGTTATCTGTGAATATAGATAATAGGCTAATAGGCTAATAGCTATTACCCAGTACACACATCTCAACATCCAAAACTCTATTCAGTATTTCACTGTACCTGACACTTTGCTGAACTCATAACATGTTTGTCTGAAAGAACTCCTTTTGTATCATACACACCATAACATAGTAAAAGCTGCAAATTCCAATCAACCATAATCATGTATAACTTCAAGGGCAGAGTGTCTCACTGAAAACAGTATGTTGGGAGCCAAACCCCCTTACATGTAAAGTGGCCAAAAAAGATTACCTTGTGAATAGAGTAGTCATTGTAACCCTTGAGTTCTTCAATAACTTTGTCCACAGTGCATTCAAAACCAAAGGCACCTCTTGCACGCAGCGTTTTAGCAATTTGAACAACATCATTATCACTGTAAATGCGTCTCACTAACAATGGATGGTTTGCAATCTGACGGAAATGAAAAACAACATCCATTCATCCATAAACTACATAGACTATTAAAAGAAACGGTACCACAGAAAATTATTGACTTAGCGCAATAGCCAAGGCACCTTGCGGAATTCAATAAAATAGTTCGAAATCTGTTTTTTAGGGAAAACCCCAGCATCATTATTCAAGTCAGTTCCTGACAGCTTTCGCATGCGCGCAAGAGAAGCTGTGCGATAATTTTCAATTGCTTCTTTATACACGCCTCCTTGTTCTTGCCCCATGAATACATAATGAACCTTTTGAATCTTGGGGGCCAGCTGCTTCATTACATCTGATTTCAATCTTCTCAAAATAAATGGCCCAAGTATAGATTTTATCTGAGCAATCAAGTCTTTATCTTCAGCATTAAAAAGTTTTTTCACATCAACATCTTTTGTTTCAAATAGATTAGGCATCATAAACTCCAGCATTGACCACAGTTCCTGCAACGGAAAGCCACTAACTGAAAAAGGTCAAACCAATCCTTAAAAGCTGTGCTTATAAAAAGATAAAATGCGCATTAAGCATAATTGATTTTTTCAGTAATATCTCAGAGAAATCAAGGGGATGTTATTAACCATTCATAAAAGTGCATTTCTCATAACTTGTAAGTACTTCAAAGCAAAGTCAATCACACCATTAAGTTTATAATGTCTACTATGTCAATTTACCTATTCAAGTACGAGATGACACACGTCAAAACTATGCAGTGAATCTGATTTTCATCATGAGCTATTATATTTGAAAGTACAGGATGAAGAAGAAGATGAAACTGACACATTCTAATGTGTCATGCATAGTTCATATTAGCAATTCAAGAAAAGCAATGGGCACACAGTTAAAATACATGCAAACCGTTCTGCAGTGGTGTTCCTGTAAGCATCAGGCGTTGATTTGCATTTCGTGCCAGGGACATTAAATTTTTCCATCTGTAACTATTCTTATCCTTCAATGCATGAGCCTCGTCCAGTAAAACACAGCTCCATCGCCACTGTTTTAAAACTTTGCGGTCATCTTTCTGTTGTGCACTGCAACATTGGTATTAGGCATGTTGCATGTTCTTCTTCTTGATAAAAGATCTCCAATGCAAAAATGTGAATAGTGCATACGTGACATGAGAAAGATAGACACATAAGAATTAATAGAAAAAATATTGTTCTTTAGTTGAATGGTCTATTTTGTTTTTGACAACTTTCTCCACAGTGTCAATAAAAATGTCTAGATGTAGACATTATGGTTGACATTGTTGAGAAAAGGTAACCAAAAACCGACAAGACCCGTTAAATGAAGAGAGAAATGTCATCGATTTATTTTAGGTGTCTATCTCTCTCATGCCACATATGTAATGTACACATTGTTGCATTAGAGATGGTATAAGGCTTTGTGCAAGGAAAATTTTATGCAATGTGTGCACGGAGTGAGATATTCCATAATAAGGCACCAGGCTACTTTTGAAACAAATGATGGCGAAAACTGTATGGTGTATGAGTGTATCGAGTTAAAACAAACCTGTGGCGTTCAAAGAGTGAGTAACAGACAAGTATAACATTAAATTGTGGTGGTATTCCAGCCTTAGCCTGATAGCTCAAATCTCTGGAATAAGCAGACCGGGAAGCACCATGATATTGAAGGACAGTGAAATTGGGACACCATTTTTTGAGCTCTCTTTCCCAGTTCTCCAAAAGAGAAGCAGGGCAAACAATTAAATGGGGCCCAATATCATGTTCCAAATGGTTGAGCAGGGTTAAGTATGTAATGGCCTACAGGAAGAAGAAGTTGTGAAAGTCTTTATTTTCAGCATTTAAATAACACCATACTGCTAAAAATACAATGTTAAGAAACCTGTATTGTCTTGCCAAGACCCATCTCATCTGCCAGTATTGCTACACAAACCAAATAAACGTGAAAGAGGAAAATAATAATCAAATTGTAAAATGGGAAAATAATAAGAATAAAAAATACATTCTGAGAGCTTATAATTTCATATTGCATTAATGTTGGAATTTCCACAGTAGGGCATTCTGTCATACATATCAGCAAAGAACATTGTGTTTATATGCACGAGGAAACATGACTCTGGGGCACCTTTAAAATATCATAGCCAGAGGGATAGTTAGAACTTTTTTTACTTCCCCCCGAACTTGGTTATGAAGGAATTACAAAACAACTTTGAGTAATATACTAATATCATTACTTTACTACTTTACTCTTCCCATTCACAATGCAGCAGTCTCTAACCACTTTCCATTTTTACTAGTGAATTTTACGTTTTGCAATAATGATGTGTCAGATTGAGCAGGGGATATGGTAAGATCAGGGAGAAAGATTAAACTCTCCTACTTCTCTCTCACAGCAAGTATCTCACAAATGAGTGATAGTAGAAGCCAAGGGAGAATCTCCAAGTCTGAATTTAATATTGATTCTGCATACCCAGACTGAATAAGACTAGGCTATTTATAAAGAAGGAAATACAACTGACCCATAACTGACTCATCCATGATCTAATAACTAACCGACACATTAACTGACTCCACCCATGATCTAATAACTGTCTAGTGGACTGATGCATGACACCAAACCCCACTTATTCTCTAACTGACTCATTTAAACAAATAAACAATAATTAATATATAAATGAAGACTCAATCAACAACTAATCCTCGTTTCTTGCTCCTCTGATCTTTCAGTACCCTATCATTACCCCTCCCTTGAAAGCCGACTTGTCCTCAAGGCGAAATTCTGGAAATTGTTGCACTAAGAATTCATAGTCTTCCCACGTAGCCTCTTGTGTGGGACGAGCATGCTGATATGCTGCAGGTATGGATTGTAACAAACCAGCAGGCGATAATGCTCCATATTTGTTTTTTGACAAACAAAGCACTGTTGGATGAAAGATTTCATGACAGATTTCATGTCTTGCCTAAAAACAGCACTACAGATCCGTTTCAAAGTTGTAAGGAATCCACCATGACCGCCCAATGCAGTGTCGGGTACTGTGATTTTGTTAAGGTCTCGATAATCCACACACATACGCACTGAATTATGGTGTTTCTTCCCCAACAGATTTGAACTTGCAAATGGACGTGAGCTAGGACGAATGAACCCTTTGTCTAGAAAGTCCTCTACCTGTCGCTCAGTTTCATGGAATTGATCTCTGAAAGGAGGAAGAGCTACTGGTTCTATAGCCTCAAATTCTATAAACACTCTTCCCACATTAAATGCGTCACGACCAGGTGCACTAGATGCAGACTCGGCTGTGGTCATAAGATTAAAACTTGCAGGTTGACAATCTCTCTTTGGTATTCCTTGTAACTTATATTTCTTCCCATTCACCCAAAAAATGAGCAACATATCATTCCAAATAGATTGGATGGTATTGAGTGATGCAAGCCACTTAATTCCCAGTACAATATCAGAATCCACAAGACAAAATGGATAAAAATCTTGGGTGATGGTCAAACCTGGAAGTTATACTGAAATCTCCTTGCACACACAGTTGCAACGCACAACATGACCGTCACCAAGCTGAACCTCAATAGTCTGAGTAGAAGAGGTAGTCAAGTCAAGTTCACTCACCAGTGAATCTGATATGAAGTTGTGAGTTGAGCCACTATCCACTAACAACAATACTTCTTTGTTAGCCAATAAGCCACGCAGTTTCATTGTTGTTGCGGTTGGACTACCCAGGATGGCATTAAAATCCCAGGATGGCATTAAAAGAAATCTCAGCATCTACTGCAGGTGGTTCCTGTTCAGCGTCTTTGGCTAATTCCAAAGAACTTGGCATTGAATGTTTATCTTCTACAACTTCCAAGGAAAGCAGGAACATCCCAACGGGACAGAGGGAGCATATATATGAAGACTCAGTCAACAACTAATCCCCGTTTCTTGCACCTCTGATCTTTCAGCACCCTATCAGGGATTCAGGATACCTCTATGGAACCAGTAAATATAATAGTAATTATCCTAAATAAGAGTAAAACTAAGCTGAAATTCACAAATAGGACCTTTTATGTTTTTATTCACAAATAGAACCAATCTACTCCTATTTTGAAACATGCTAAAATTAGCATCCCATTTTTACCCCTAAACCTATTTACCCTTTTCTCTCGATCAGCTTATCTCTCCAAAGATCGATCCATACTTTCTCCAGATGCGACCAAAGTGTCACCGCAGGTCCATAGCCGCAGCTCACCTTCTGCCCTGAAACATTGCCGGTTTTGCCGCAGGGCACCTTCGCCGCCTCCACCTTCCACCATCGTCATCTTTATTTATCTCCGAATTTCAGATTTTCCCCTTCCCCTTCCCTTTCCCCTTCCCCTTCTTTTTAGTTTTAACAATGATTTTTTCAAATCTTCCTCCTATTCTTTTGATTTCAAATCTTCCTCATATTTTCCCCTTCCCCTTCACCGCAAATCTTCCACATTCAATTAGCTGATTTTTGGATTTCTGTTTTGTATTTCCGATTCAGATTTGTTACTTACTTAAAAATCCCGATTTTCTGGAATTTTGGATGATGATGGCATAAGATTTTGCCAAATTTATGGCAGAAATGTGCACACTGACAATCAATTATGGCAGAATAGATTTTGTGTAAATCGGTTTTTAACTTTTTTTTTCATTAGTGTTGTATTTGTGATTTTCGACTGTATTAAAGTGTTTATTCCTTTGAAAAAATTATTTTCTGAATTTTGGTTGTTGAGTTCGTTTGTTTGCCAAATTATTGGCAATTTTGTATTATTCTTCCAAGACAATTCTGCCGACATTGTTGGCAGATTTAAGAGTTCATACGATGGCAGATTTAAATTAATAATATAGGCCAAATCTGCCAACTTAATGGCAGACTTATGACATTGGTGTTTTGAAGGTGGTGGTGGTGCTTGGAGTTTCAGTGGTGGCCTCCTCCAGATCTGGAGGCCACCACTTCAGATCTGACTATCATGGCGGTTCTGCTCCAGATCTGACCGGAATGGGCGGCAGCGACGACAGAGGAAGATAGCGGTGGTTGGGGCGACGACAGTGTGGGCGGCGGCGTTGGTGGCGCCACCAGTAAAGGCGGCCGTGGTGGCGGCGGCGGCGATGCTGGTGGCAGCGCCGGCAAGGGCGGTGGTGAGCAGTGCTGGCGAGGGCGGTAACAGGCGACAAGGGCGACAACAGGCGACGAGGGCGGCATTGAGGGTGGCTGAAATGCTCTTGTTGAAATTTCGGGATTTCATTCAAATAAAAGTTGAATGAGGGCATTTTTGAACAAGTAGGTAATTTTAAGTCCTGTGAAACATAATCTTTTTTATCCTATTATTGCACACGGATGTACTTTTAATCTTAGATAGGTAATTTACTATAAATATAATAGGTAGCAGACAGGACGGGCTTTAAAGTGCTTATAGAAATAAGAAATGATGAACTTTTATTTCGGATTCAGATTAAAATTGATCTCTACTTATCTTCCTTTACTCTTATATCATATCCCAGTGTTAACCGACCCCAAACTCTTTTGGGATTAAATGGAAGAGAATTGTTTCTTTATCTCCTACTTTGCTACTTATCTCAATTCAAACAACTGAAGGATGTACATTTTAAAGACAGTTTAATGTTTTCGCATAAGCGGTCAATAAACATTTCTCCATTTTAGAATGTCCATTTTAGAATGTGCAGAGGATTATACTCTTCATCTATACTAGCCAGGTCTAGCAACCTCTTTTGCCTTCAGTTGTTTTCTTCGTGACCTTTTGTAGTAAAACCTATATCATTCGCATGAAGTTTTTTATGTAACTCAATACATGCATCATCATCTATCTAAAAGTGGCTTCACAAGAAACTGAAGGGGGTGATAGAGTATATAGACTCGGACCCCCGGGTCTCACGACTATTGGATCTGGACAGTGGTCCACACACGCCTTCCAGATATCACTTGTATTATTGTACAATCCGATTTGTATTTGTATCCACTAGATTAGCCTTTTTTATTATCAGTCCATTTATGTAACCGGGTCTGTCGGGCCCATATTAGAGGCCCAGACCCGAATTTCCCTATTTATACTCCTCTTGGATTTCTCTACTATTCATCTTCTTGCTCAATCTCTCCTAATTATATATGTTTGGATCCCTATAATCTATCATTTGGTGCTTTCATTGAGATTTGAGCAAAATCAAGTGAGAAATCCTCCCAAATATTCAAGAAATTCATACGAATCCCAGAAAATCGAGCAAAAACAGTCAGCAAAAAATCTACAATCTATGGTGGAGGTGCCGGCACCGTCCGCCACCGTCAGCCACGCTGCCACAGTAGAAACTCGCCCACCCAATCACAGATCTCGCCTGCGGTGGAGTTTCCGTCAGCTGAAGCTCACTGCCGCTGCTCCAGTAGGCTCAGATCTGGAAGTCTCCTGATGAACCAGAGCTGTCATCATCTTCCAGGAAGCTGCCCCAGATCTCGCCACCAACGTGGAAGGATCTTCGTCCAGATCTTGTGGTCGCCGTTCCAGATCCAGCCCCTCTGGACCTCACTAGCAGCTGCTACAGGTTGTAATCGACGCCCAACACACCCTAACAGCCAGACAGATTCGTTTTGGTGACCGAACGAAGGACCATTGCGGCCCAAGCTTCGGCCCCGCTGGAAGCGATCCACAGTTTCGAGGAACCCTCTTCCACTCTCCGGTGATGACTAGCAACGAATACCGATGATGTTTCCAAGCTCCCAGCGTTCTGAACCAGTGACGTTGGTGCGCGAGGATCAGCAATGCATGGTGGCTGAGGTGGTCGGAAGATTGCTCTACGCCACTCCCTCGTCTCCATATCTGGCAGCAGAAGAACCGGAACATGGATCTCCGGCCAAACCAACGGAAATCTGATGCAGCCCTTATGCGATTTAGAAGACGCTGCACCGGCTGACTGGCCCCGACAAGAGGCCAAATAGTTCGACGTCACCCATAGAAATGCCTACGTTTGTGGGTTCCAGTTGACTCAGTCAACTATTATGCAGCAGCTGTGAGATTTGGGCCATCGGAGGGACAGACCACATCCAGCCCAACCAAATTATTCATCGGCCACAATTTCAGCAACACACGGCCCGATTGAAATCTAAGTAGCTAAAATACTCCTTCCATTTATTAATTTTCAGTCATGAACTGATTCGAAAAAAATAAATCATAAATGAAATATTTTAGTAATATAGCATCAAACTTCAATCTTAAGGGGCGAGTCATCTGTTAAAAGATCCCGAAAAGCGCGGACTGGCGGATTCGAACTACGAACTTGAGTGACAAGTTGAGCTAGATTATTAATTTATTATCATTATTTTTAAAGACTTCCAAAAAAAAGTCATAAAGATGAAAAATTAATAATATAACATCAAACTTCAATCTTGAGGAGCGAGTCATCCGTTAAAAAACCCCGAAAAGCGCAGGTCTGGCGGATTCGAACTACGAACTTGAGTGGCAAGTTGAGTTAGTTTATTAATTTATTATCATTATTTTTTAAGTAGTGTGTATTTTTTGACATTGAAAAAACGGACTTATGAATTCCGAGCACTCGCGTACACTGGCGGACTAATGAAGTCTCGCGCCACGAGTCACGACAAACGGGTGTGGCGATAATAAGCTCCAAATCCAAATGTTATCTAATACACACTCTGGTTTCTATGTTCTGTACGAGTTATGTGTGTGCCCTAAAACTATTGAATCATACTCTTAATTAGGCGCGTGTCACACTCCAATTAAGCATAGAAACAAAATTTGAGCTCCAGCTTGAAAATTTGAAGCCAATTAATGTAGGCTCAAATCCGATAGCGAATAAGCTCAAGAAATTATAACATTTTTTATTTGAATGCATATGTGCAATTAAATGATGACTTGGATTTTATATCGGCCTCTTGGCCATACTCTTGGTCATCTTTATTTGATGACCCTGACATCATTATGGACGGTCGCTCGACCTATCTATTAGCCATCTTTATTTGATGACTAGGACCACCTATCATGCCGAGCTACGCACATTCGAGGACCGATCTTGGTCATCCCCTCAACAGATGTCAATGGTTGCAGTTCCACGCCTAGGCCGAAGGGTTCACCCCTTTTGCTTCATTTTGGGGGCATCCGGTGTACTCTTGTTCCCTCATTAGGATTTTTTCCCACAAGGTTTTTTCCTAGTGAGGTTTTTAACGAGGCATTTCCCCAACGTGGACAAAAGGTGTCGACCCCCGGTCCCTATTGAAGACATCACGAGGCATGCATTACTCTACTCCTCTTCACTTCATTACATTCACCTCAAGGAGTGGGGGGCTGGAAGAGCGGAGACTTAGCGCCACCGTTAACCAAAGAAGCAGAAATTCCAATTTTTTCACGAAGTTTACTCATCAGACGACGACAGATCAGCACACAGTTCTACTCCCTTTCGCCTCGAGTACTCTCGACTCAACGAGTGGGGGACTCCTGATAGAGTATATAGACTCGGACCCCCGGGTCTCACGACTGTTGGACCTGGACAGCGGCCCACACACGCCTTACAGATATCACTTGTATTATTGTACAGTCCGATTTGTATTTGTATCCACTAGATTAGCTTTTTTTATTATCAGCCCATTCATGTAAATGGGTCTGTCGGGCCCATATTAGAGGCCCAGACCCGGATTTCCTTATTTGTACTCCTCTTGGAGCTTCTTGTAACCCTAAGTCATAATTCCACATTCATACATTTCTCTACTATTCATCTTCTTGCTCACCTCTCTTGCTCAATCTCTCCTAATTATATATGTTTGGATCCTTATAATCTATCAGGGGGCAAGTCATTTTCCCTATTATTATAGGTGCTGCATCAAACAGCTTACAAGTAAGCATGTACAGTACTGATTACCTCCTCCTATTTTCTTTCTGTATAAAAGAATCAGGAAATTGACTCCAACAAGCTGGTATGGTTTCAGAACTGGCTTGAAATCCGAGTCCTCCGCAACACATGCTTCATTCACATCATCCTTCAAATTCATAAGAAACCCAACATATTTAGTAAGTAACTTTTCCAAATTGCAAGTAATTTAATAAAGCAATAATTACAGTAGCACTTTCGTATTTAGTGATATACCTGAGATACCATTCTCAGTGAAGAAACTTCTTCAACTTCGGAGAAGCGTTCACAAGCCGTATTTGCTGAGCCATACAGCTCTCTCTTCAGGTCAGAAGATATTTTACCGCATTTGTGCAATGCCTTGACGACAAGATCGGTTTCATTTTTCTCTTCCTCCGGACCCTGCTCCTGCACTTCGAATTCCGAGTGCAACCCCAATTCCAACTCTTCAACATCATCATCAAATCTTGGTACCGCACGCGGCATCTTAGTATGCTTCACTTCATGACCATCATCCTCGTCCTCATCCTCAATGACGAATCTACGACGGCTGCGGATTCTCTTCACCTTCTCTGGCTCCTCTTCCGCGTCATCTAAATTCTCGGCTTGATTCCCGATTTCGTCGGAAGAGCTGTCGCCAATTTCAATAAAATCGGTTGTGGGACGTTCAGAATAATTGTTGGATTTAGAATAAGAGAATGACTCAATTGGAGGAGGGAGGTCTACGAGATCGGTTTTCAGGACTCTTGAGGGTTTGAAGGAGTGTTCTTCAGGCCAGTCGTCGTCTGATAGCTCGAAGAATTCAAAGGAACGTTTCATTCTGAACGTAACCCTAGGTGGGACTTGAGAGCGAATGACACAGACAAAAAGGGGTTAGGGTAGGACTGTTGGACCGTTGGTTGGAGTGTGGTGACGGTCATGCCCTTGCCTGCTATTCTTTGTTTTTGGGGTTGCTCCATTTTTACTTTATGTAACTACTCCATCCGTCCCTGAAAAAGTTCTCACTTTCCTTATTTGGATGTCCCTAATTTAAGTTCCCATTTTCTTAAATGGAAAATTATCTACATCAATATAGTGCCGAACAGTGCAAAACGGTGTCAAACAATGTCAAACAGTGTCAAAACAGTAAAATTTACCTCCTGGTAAGTTTACGTGCATAAAAGTGTGTGAAAGTCAAATGGGGAACTTCTTTCGGGGACGGAGGGAGTATATACTAGGGCAAGATTAACCCTTTTAGCCTTTGTTTGAAAAGACTGGAAAAAAGCACTTTCCAGCTTTTGGTTTAAAACGCTAAAAAGAGTGTTTTCAAGTGACAATTTTTACTTAAAAAACTTTTCTCGGCTTTTGTGCAAAACTTTTTCTGTTACACAAAAAACACTTAATTTACCAAACACTACCAATTTTTACTTTTCAAAATCACTTTTTTTAACACTACCAACTTTTACTATTAATCACTTTTCCCCAAATCACTTTAAAAAGTTTAAAGCACTTGGGAGTAGTATTTGCAAACAAACCCTTAATTACGGAGTACTATTAGTGCGGCTTGCTCCCTCATTTCATTAGGGAGTACCACACTATTAAATTAAAATTAAATAAATTTGATCTTTATGGGCATTTGGTATGATGTAAAATAATTACTTTGAATGCGAAGTGTAAGAACGTAAAATGTATACACCGTTTGGTTTGATAATTTAATCTAAACTACTGTAGGGCACTTTTTAAAAACATTTCGCATTGTACCATGTAAAGTATTTTACGTAGGGGTGGTAAAAAACTTTGCATGCCTTTTATGAAGCACAGCAGCGACTTTGCGTGCAATTTAAAAATAAATTACACATCTAGCCAAACAATGTAATCTATTTTACATGCAAAATGATTGCTTCCCTATACTTTGCATGTAATCACTTCGCGTGCAAGATTTAACGTGGTAAACTACCAAACGAGCTCTTAGAGCCCGTTTGGTAAGGTGTAAAGTATACATTTTGCATGCAAAGTGTGGGGAAGTAAACATTTTACACTGTTTGTTTCAATCATTTGATGTAAACTGTAGGGCACCTTTTTAAAGATATTTTACACTGTACCATGTAAAATATTTTACGTGGGGCGAGGGTGGTAAACTACTTTACATCAGCTAATACCGATTATTAAATGGGTCGAGCTCCATGTTTTACTATTTAGCCCTATTACGATCGACTGTGGCGGCAAAAACGAAAAAAAGTTAGCGGCCAGACATGAGACCTACCAATTTTCTCTCCTATATTAAGAAAAGAAGATCATCCAGTGCATCATCAAGCATCTTCTCGATCTGCTGGCCACACTAATCTCAAATTCTTGTGTAATCTCAATTATGAGGCCGTTTGGTAACATCATTTTTCGGCTTATCAGGCTTATCAGCCAGCTTTTTCACCAAACACGTAACTTTTACTTTCACGCGCTGAGTTGTGTAATAAGCATAAAAAGTAAGGTTGGAGTTACTTTTCTGGCTGTATTGGCTGGAGTTACTGTAGATGACCATTTTAGCTATTTTTACATATAATTTTTTCTTTATTTTACTAATAAAATATATTTTAAAATAATTTTTACTTAAATCATCAGAAACAGCCAAAGCAGTCACTTCAGCCAGAACTTCATAAATTTCAGCAGAATCAGCCAAAACAGCCGATTTTCGTGCTACCAAACGGGCTCTATATTTATCCTTTGTAATCATTGATGTGTATTACATGTGTCTAGCCATTGAAAAAGGTGAGTATGTTTGCTGTGCTTCAAGATTTTAATCATTATACGGTTTATTATTTTTAATATATATAATATAATATTATATACCGTGTAGTATTATTTATACATACGTGCACGCATATTAGCATACTAGCATGGTAACGCGCTTTGCGCGAAATCTGGCCCAACAATGGAAAACAACTAATAAAGTCGTGCAAAAACAATATTCATTACTTTTTTGCAACAACAAAGCACTATTCCAATGGCTGATATATAATAGAACTGCTCGGGCATTCTTTAACTTTCCCGAATCAAAGAAAAATTGAAGTACAAACAAAGCCATGTTCAGTAGAAAATCAAAAGGAAAAAAATTGTCCAAAATGAAAGAATTCCTAGTTTTTATAGAAGGTTTAAAGATATGGTTCGTAAACTAAATCTGTTTAAATAGTGCCAAGCTTAATAGACTGCCCTCAATTTGGAGCCTGTCTCCGCTTTGAAATATTCATTTTCCTCGCTGATATGAAGTTGAAATCAACCCAAGAGGTTGGTCATATTACAATAGCTAGCTGTGAAATAAAAAGAAGTGTGACTAAAACAAGAGAAGAAATATGGGCAACAGGTATGAGACATAGGTAGGCAATGATTACCTATTTACCTGATATACTCTCTAATCAGTAGCCCATTTCATCTTTTTAGAAACAATATCATGAAAATATCTTCCAACATATATTCTATATAATGGATACAAGTATTAAACAAATTTGATCATCATGTGAAATTTAAAAATGAAAATTGTATATTTGAATTATGATATGGTGCGTAGAATATAGTGACAATACTTCGTAAGAAGTACCACAAATTATTTAGTTAAAAATGTTTGAAAGTTCGTTGAGACAATAAGAAAATGAGGGTTGGATGTAGTACATGTCAAATACCTTGATTCTTTTGAGAAAATCAGAGCCGGTCATCCCAGGCTAGTCTGTGATGATAAGATTGACGTCCACCTCCTGCAATTCAATTCCCATAAACCATTTTATACATTCTAAGCTTCTAAGATATTGAGTACCAACAGCATTGAATAAAATAAAGTTAAAAAATACGAACGAATCTGAAATTGGGAAGAAGAATCCATCCCACCACCATGCCATCTTTCGGGGAGATTATAGCAATATATACAATGGTCTGCTCTGTTTGATAAATGGTATATTCATAAATGGTATATTCTTAAAGTATTAAAAAATTAGAAAAAAATGTGTAACACAAATTACATGTTAATATGTTATCAATGCAGGTTTTTATGCCTATAAATATATATTAGATGTTAGATAATGACAACAAATGATTACAGGCAACCAAGTAGATTAGGGTACCGACTGTTCTTAAATACACTAAAATTATACTCTTACTTTAGCTATGATCATCGTTTTGATAAGACACAAACTACTCTCAATAGGTAGAAAGTTCAACTTCAACAAACCATCAGAAGTTTAGCTGGAGCATAACCCGAAGTACCTTAGTATCCATACCATTTATCTTGACAGCTTCTTGACCGATTTCAGCTTGTTTATTCCTTGTGTATTGATTAAAATCCCAACTTCAGATTAAAAAGTATAAGGAGCTTAGTATGAGTGATCTATTAGTGATCTGATAATAATCAATAAAAATCCAAGAAAAGTGGATATGCTAATCCGATTCATATCATTAAAGCTCTGCTTATTAAATCACTAATAGCAAGTGGACACTAACAAAATATTGATTCCTATAAAATCAAATTCGTTTCCAAAATTAACAAAGCATCAATGAGAAAAAAATCATAGATGAAAGAAAGGATTATAGAAAATATCCAGAATTTATATAAAACAAACCTTAACATGGTGTATAGATAACAAAAGGGACTGTTTTATCAAAAGTATTTAAAGAAATAATGAAAATGACACAGAGTAATATATAAAACCAGATTAAATACATAAATAACCATCAATGTGAAGAATCAATAGGCAGTTCAAGTCATCAATAATAATGCCAGGGCCTCAAGTAAATACATTATTCGTTTATTAGTAATTTCTAACCTTGTCATAATTTCGCTTGAGAGCTTTACCTTTGCTGTGAAGAAAGACAACATGATAGAAATCTTGTTTAGAAAATTACACTATATGAATCTGCAAGTTTAAAGTTTTTATTTATTTCAAACCAATGCAGTAGCGATATATAGAAGAAACTTTAAATAGAAGCTTAAATCAGAAAAATGGAAAGTAACCTGGTGTTAAGAAGTTTCAGAAGCATATTGTAACAAACTGGTGTTATATCAAACCAGTTGGCTTGATATAAAATAATTCAAGCTTCAAATGGATACAAAATGGTTTATTTCCTACTCATTTACAAATTAACGAAAGCTAGACCTTCATAAGAGAAATTTCAGAAGCATACCTGGTGTTAAGAAGTTTCAGAAGCATATTTTAACAAACTGGTGTTATATCAAACCAGTTGGCTTGATATATAATAAATCAAGCTTCAAATGGATACAAAATGGTTTATTTCCTACTCATATACAAATTAACGAAAGCTAGACTTTCATAAGAGAAATTTCAGAAGAAAACCTGATGTTAAGAAGTGATGAGCTTCCAAAAAACAAGACCAACACATTTTCACATCCTTCAACCCACCCTTTGAAATTAACAGGAACAAAAAGAAGCTGACCTATCATTTTTCTTCTCAATAATAGTGCAAAGCATTCACTTTTCAAGATTAAATTGGCATCAATCACAAACTAAAAAAAAGCAGCAGCCACAAAATCATCAAGTGTGACATGTTATCTTAAAAGAAGTTACTAAACCATATCTTTTACCAAGATATTATGTTTAAGGCTATGTTTGCGATGCCGTTTAAGCTAATAGTAGACTGAAATTTCTATAATTCAGTCAAGTATCATGTGATTAGCTTTGTTTGTATAAAAGATTAAGTGAGCCTGAGGTTAAAAAAGGAAATAATGTTTAACAGAACCATTTGATGTCCATTCATTTTATAGAATCAAAGAAAGATTAAGTGAGTCTGAGGTTAAAAAGGAAATAATGTTTAACAAAACCATTTGATGTCCATTCATTTGATGGCCATCTCTTCCGCCCAGTACCAAAATATTCCTCCCAAAAAGAAAGTGTTCACAAACTTTTTTGTTAATTATAAGAATAAAGGAA